CTAGGGTGGGGATCCTTGACAGTTCTGTTTGACGATTCATTTGACACATTTGAATTTGATTTGAAATTTTGTGGATTTGCCAGTCTTTACCATATCTTTACTGAGCTTATTTTATGTTATTTATTATTTATTCTACTACTGAGAGTTGTATAAAGGTAGTAAATCTAGAAGGAAATTGTGGCAGAACTTAAATTAACAGTGACATTATTGCGATTTATCGAAAAAAACTGTAAAATAGTTGGTTGTGTAGCGTGCGGTAGATCTCGGTCAAAAATCAATCACAAATTATGGAATAACTTTTCGCTAGTAAGTGACTATACAATATATATACGTGTAGTAAACCGATCACTTCTGAAATTCACTTAAAACAACTTTCGTTGCACGTCATCGATGACACCATGCGTCGTCTTATGGAGTTTGCTGGTGGTCGTATTATGATGTGCAACGAAAGTTGTTTTAATTTCCCTAATATTTTTTCTTGCATTTTTGCTTTTATTTACTACTCGTCAAACATTAGATGTCAAATTTCAATTCTAAGTCACAAATGCTGACAAATCGTTTATAAAAATCGTTGACGTTCTGTTAAAATGACAATATATCAAGTTAAACTTCAAAATTGACAATTAACTACCTAATAACAATTACTTAATAAGGTAAAACCAAAAAGCTCAAACTTTCTGTATACTTATTTTTAAATTGTTTTTAATTTTTACGCATGTTATGTTTATTTATGTTGTTTAAAAATCAAAGAAACGATTGCCATACATTACTAACATCTACAGATGCACGAGCAATACATTATTTATTTTTATTAGATCGTATTAAATAAATTTACTTTTAGAGGCTATCGCTTCTTTCATTAGAGTTTTGGCGTTGTTTTACAATCTAATAAAAATAAATGTATTGCTCATGCATCTGTAGATGTTAGTAACATAGTATAATAGTTAGTAATGTATGGCAATTGCTTCTTTGATTTTTAAAAAACATAACATAATTAAACATAACATACCTACGTAAAAATTAAAAACAAATTAAAAATAATCATACAGAAAGTTTGAAGCTTTTTGGTTTTACCTTATTAAGTAATTGTTATCAGTTATCAGGTAGTAATCATATAATGTCATTTTAACAGAACGTCAACGGTTTTTGTAGACGTATCTGTTTTAAAAAAAATAAAGTGTTCTCGAATAATTGCATTTAAATATTTTAAATAGTTTTTTCCTTTGTTCTTTGTATTTTTTTTGCTTCCGACGACGGAAACACTTAAGACCGTTAAGCCGCGTATAAATATGTCGAGGCAAGTACGAGACAAACCCGAAACGAGTATGAAACGAGGCTATAGCAAATTCTTTCCAAAAGGCGTACTAATATGCCGAGACGAGGACGAGACGAGTCAACCTCAAGCGGGATTCGTCATATTATAGCCTCGAGCCGAGCGATTTAGCCTCGAGCAGAGTCCCTGCCCAGTCGAACGGCGTCGTCTCGCGGCTATCCATTTTCAGTGGAGCCTTTGGCGAACCCACAAAATTCTTCATAGGGCTATGCGATACTGAGGCAATATCGATATTTTGGTATCGGTTGTATTGAATATAAAGTATCGATACTTTAAAATATTGATAAATATATTAAAGTATTATTCGATACCATTCAATATTTTAAAAAATTAATTAATAAATTTAAGTAAACTGTGTTTTTTAATTGGATTAGGATCGAAAAAAATCAACAGGAACCGAAGTCCTTTGTTTTAAATTTGTCGACGTTTCCGCAAAAGTTATTTGCATCTTCAGGACACTATAAAGTTAAAGAGAGCAAAATACAATCAAAAATTTTAAACATTTAACAAACAACTTAAAACACATATCAGTGGAATTCCACACATACACAATTGGTAAAAACTACCCTAATGTTAACAATTAAATAAAATATATGTATATGTTATAAACTTAAGATCGCTTGGAAATAAAAATAATAAGGGATAAGGCCAGAATATAATCAGGATATTTTCTTATTCGCATTTAACGAAAAAAATCGACGATGGTGGCACTGTTTTATACAAAAAAACTACCCGGATCAGAACTAAATCAGTCATCAAACGATCTCAAATTACTAAAAGCACTTGGAAGAAAATGATAAAACACTTAACCTAGGGTTGGCAACTTTGAAAATAAAAAAATAGGGCGAGAGGATAAAAAAAGGCACAGGCGAAAACATTTTTTGAAATGTCGCTCAAATGTCGAGAATTTACCAAAAGTTATATAAACGGTATGCGATAAATATTTAAAATACACAAAAATATTTATACTCAAAACTTATTAAAATAAAGTAAACCATTGTCAACAAAACTTTTTTCAAGACATAAACTAACAGTAAGTAAACATAAAATTACATTAAAGACACAGATTAACAATTCTTTAAAGCATTGTGGCGATAAACGAATATTTTTTAGATTTTGAAGTTGGTATGTAACAAAGTTTTCAATACGTGAGAGAAAAGAGGGACAATCAGATCAAAGAGGACTGTTTCTGGAATAGAGGGACGGTTGGGAACCCTATTTTAACCCCCTGTAGCTAGAATAAAAAATAAACTACGAATTATAAAATAACTATGAATCAAAGCAGAATTGGATTGGTTGATATAAAAAATAAATCTTATTTTTACGTGAGGAACTTCCGAGAGATGGAACATGTTTTTGAAATACCCTGTATATGTTTATTTAATTTCAAAATAGGTAAAAAAACAAGATAGATAAATTAAAGGAATTAATGATAAATTTAAATTATATTGGGACTGTTTACATTAAAAATAACTGAAGAACGCCGACTGAGTTACCTGGAGATAACGGCACGGCAGCGGCGGCAGCGGAGCCTTCTGCCAGTGCCTTTTTTTTGAGTCTTTAATTATTTTATTCAATAATATATTTTGTATGTGGTTTGTATATCTATAAAAATTTTAAATAGCGTAACAGCGCTTTCAGATGGAGCGGACCGTACGCGCAGAGCGTCCCGCACGGATGTTTTTTCAAGATAAGCTCATCCGGACGGAGCATACGCGATCCAGGTGAAATTGTTCATATAAGCTCATGGTACTTGCTCAGAAGTCGCGGACGCTCCGTTCCATTTGAAAGCGCTGTAAGATAAGACCTAATTCGACTTTATTTATTTAAAAATTAGAAATTTAAGTAATTAAGATTTAAATTATTAATTTAAATCTACATTTAAATACCAATAACTAACCTGGACATATATTGTAAATAATATATCTGCATTTCTTCATTTCTAAAGTTGTATATTTTTTCAAGGTATTCAATTCGCCACATTATTATTCTATGGCTTTCCATCATTGCAGCACGCTTATTAATAATTTTTAAAATATTATTATGTATATAATTTTAAATCTAATTCCCAGTTTTTTAAACCTTCGCCGTAATGTGCTTTCTGAACAGGGTTTTTTTAAAGCTCGGAGAGTTTTTTTTTAATTATTTCTATGGCGGGAACTTTATTATTTTCATATTTGCCATAAATTAAGTTTCTTAGTAGTCTGGATAGTTCAAATTTCTGGATTTTTCTATATCGAATCGTTCCTTTCTTTGTCGATTCCCTTTATTTATGAGAGTACCGTAAGGAACTTCTGAGAGCATGGCCACCTTTTTCAACACACTCGATTTGCCTCTCTTATCTTCTATGTATCCTATATGTAAAGAAGCTTGTTTTACATCTTTAATTCCGTTCAGCAGAAATAGCGCATAATTTACGTTTGAGCCGTTAATAACTCGAAGAAAAGTTCATTACGTATTCATTTTTCATAAAATGTTCATGTTTTTATAAAAGAAATCACTAATAAATCTTTGTATATGAGATTTACCTACTTTGGCTAACTTACCTATACTATTTTAGAGAAGACAAAATTGCATCTTTCTAGTTAGGATGCATTATTACAAATAAAGGAAAGACTATTTATTTTTATATAAAAATGGGATGTGGAATCCGAGCCCCTTGAGACTCGAAGCACTTGTTCCGCGGAGCCGCGGTGTATACGCCACTGGTTAAATAGACGCCCCAATCCTTTTGATGGTTCGCCAAAGGCTCCGGAAAAAACGGAGACAACGCCGTCCGGCTGGGCATAGGCTCGGCTCGAAGCTCAGACCCCGTCCCAATATGACGAGTCAACCTCAAATCCGCTTGAGGTTGACTCGTCTCGGGTGTCTCTCGCACTCGTCTCGACATATTTATACGCAGCTTTACGACCGAAACGTCAAGCATTTTTTTGTCCGTTAGGCAAATTTGTTTATTAGTAAATCACTGCTGACAGTCAGTGGCGGTTCCACGGGAGGGGGGGCTTCAGGCCTTCAAGCTCCACCCTTAGGTTCACCCATCTAATAGGATATTATTAATTTATTATGTCAGAAACGACTCCGGAGTATGTACTTTGAAAGTTTTGTTTCTAGCACACCCACCCCCCCCCGAATCCTAGATCCGCCCCCTGCTGACAAATAGTCTCTATTGGATTAACGCCAGCAGTGTTTACAAAAAAATAACTATTTTATTTTGTAGATTTTCTTATAGTGGCGAAATACCTAGAGAACTTTTTAGGAGAAGATATGTTTTTTAACTAAAAGTTAAAAAAAATTCCAAAAAGTTTTGCAAAAAATCCAAATTTTCAAAAAAAAATTTCGCGAAAAAAAATTTGCACTTATTTAAGATTTACCTTGTATATAAATGTCAATAATTTTTTATTTTCATTGAATTATTTTATTTAGTTAAAAATTAAGTACCATCACTTTTTATCTCGCCTAAACATTAAATCGCCTTTTCCTTTTTCAGGCATACCTACGTACGTACGACCATCGCGGCGGATCGTGCCGAAAAAATTCCACCGGTACGTTTTATTCGGCCTAACTAACCGAATCGGCGGCACAAGAAAACTTTGGCAGTACCCGACGGCGTAGGTAGTACTACTTTAATTAGGACCGGTCATGAGGAGCCGATTCGCGGTACTTTTGCCCTGATGGTGGCCGTGCTGATGGGGAACGTGGCGCAGGCCAAAGTGTACACCAAATGCGGCCTCACCAAAGAACTGCTGAATAATGGATTCGAGAGGAGTTACGTGGGGAATTGTAAGTCGGATGGAAATATGAAGGCAGAGGAGGGCGATAACCCGCCCTTGTTTACCTTATTAGGTTTAGAATGTGCCAAATTGATTCGTATTTATTTATCATATACAGGGTGTAAAAATGGATAAGTGCGAAAAAAATTAAGTGATTTCTTTTGAAGTGAAACTTCTTTACGCGCGTTGGGAGTAAAAATTCAAAGCCATGAGGCACGAGCTAGCGAGAGGAAAAGTGGTAGAGGTAATGTTGCCACAGCTATCCCATTCGGGGTTGATCTACCCCTTTGTAAAACAATTTAACCCCGCTATCTCGTGATAATCTACCCCGATAAAAAATACGCTTGTGGCAACTCTGGGTATCAATTTGGGCCATACGGGGCTAAGAAAATCACTATAATAAACTTGATACTGTACCTGTTTACTAATATCCTCTAGTTGTGTGCTAGGAAGTAAATTTTCATGCATATTTTCATCGATAGGTTTATAGCTTCTGAATAACGGTCTAGGTAAAGCATCTAGCTCGTTTGTCACATCAGAATTAGAATTATTAGAGTTAGTAACTCGCATTTTCATTGGAGGACACTGGCATATTTATTTCAAACCAATAATCAACGAGGATATTCGTATAATAAATATTACTGTAAACCACAAAATTTACAAAATCCGGACAAATGAACTTTGAAACAAAAATCCAATCCGGACCACATTCGGACGTGGCACAAAAGAAAATAATAGCCCGGGAATCAACAAAATATAAACCAAAAAAACATTTACTTTCCAGGAGTGCACGAAAAGCGAAAATTTTGAGCGCCAAAGTATAGAAATGGGTACTTTCGAACATGCGTCGCGGTCGGTTAAGTAGAGCTGTAGGATCGTAGACAAAGTAATTGAGAAATTAATTCAACCTGTAACTGTAAAATATTTTATTAAGTTGAATTACGAATTTTGTGTTTGCGGTTAGGTCTTCCGGACGCTTTTCCAAATCCGTGCCGGACCGCCCGCGCCCCGGACACTTTAAAAATCCGGACGTATGGATTTGGACGTTTCGACTTTATTTAAAATATTTTCAAGACTACTTAATATCTTATAACAATATCTATCTACGTACTTACTATCTATCTAGGTATATTTCTTCCTTTATGTCAATTTAACAAATTGTTATTTTTCTCCATACCTGAAAAAGAGGAAAATATATTAGATATAAAATAAATAAGTAAAATTACGGAGCGATCAATTACATACGGACTGAAATAATTGGCAAGTTTTGATTTTGTTATTTTTGTGAAATCGACATGTTTTTCTATATAAAAAATTACTATTTTGTGATCAACTCAGTATCAATCTGTTCGAAGTTGGTCAAAGAATGCATAGAGAAACTGAACAAATTAGGCAAAGAGAACAAAGCCCTCCTACTCTGGATGCCAGCTCACCGAGGGATTTTTTTTTAGAATTTAGAATGAGTGGGAGGGGGGTTAATCACTGCGACCTTACAGATCTATTGTGTCCCCCTTTCTTGAGTTATAACTCATCATACAGTCCCAGGGCTTTGACAATCCTCTGATTAGTCTCCTGAGTAGGGGAGAGCGGGTACAATTGTAACGCGGTACAAATGTAACAGGTACCATAACTTTTTTAAATTCAAATACATTATTATGGCACCTGGTCAGTTATTCAAATTCAAGACTCAGTACAATCTGACGACAGTTGAGACTTTGCAATGGTGCAGTGACATAACAATAGAGCTATATCTATTTATCGACACAAAAAGCAAAACTTAAGCCATTTTATCAGTTCTTAAATAACTATCATATTGATAGTTTACAGTCAATGTAGGTATATACTTTTGTAGCCTATGCATGTATATTTAACATGATATGGTTCAGTTTAAGGTAAATTTTGCTCTAGTTTTTTAATTTCAATAAAAGTGCAGGGTTGTCAGTTCGGTACAATTGTAACAATTGCAAAGGGTACTTCTGTAACATGTTACAGTGATACCTACCCATTGTTTCGTTAGATGTACTCATTTTTTTAATTAACATGCCTAAGTAAAAATAATTAATAGTGATAAGGGACCTACAAAACAACTTATAAAAAGAGCTGCGGGTTTGGTTGTGAACGAAAATCTTGGATTTCGACAAGTTGCTAGAAGTTTGGACCTCTGTCATGTAACACTTTTCCGTTATTTAAAAAAAATACAAGCTGGTGAAACTCCTAAAGTGGTTACAATCCACATACTCGAATTTTATCCCCCGAACAAGAAAAAGCATTTTTGGAAAAAAGGGAAATTCGCAAGTTGATATTTTTTTAAAGTTTTTAATTATCTTGTTTTTAATATTGTATTTTTTATAGGCGCATTAGTTTTTTTTAGAACGCTGTTTGGAAAAATCTACGATGTGACTAGGTTAGAATTATTCTTAGAAAAAATTCTATAGAATAGGTATAACTTTTGAAGATTGTTGTCTGCACCAGTTTTTTCACATATTGTAAATAAAAGTTGGCATTCATTTTCTAGCAATTATTATTATTTGAATGCATCCAAATCATATCTTAACGTTTGTCAGATTCTAGGAGCTAACATTTTATTTGCTTCAGATGAAAAATCAATATACTAAACACGTTACATTTGTCCCTCCTCTATGTTACAACTGTACCACCGCGGGGTACAATTGTAACACATGTCATCACACCACTGTTGCCTTTTTTAAGACTACATAGGTGAATATACCTTCGATTTCTTATGTGCATTTTGATGATAAATGTCTAGGCTATCTAAAGATAATAAGTACACTTCGCGAAATTTCTCATTCTATTTTTGAAAAATAAATTTCTAAAAACTGTTACAACTGTACCCGCTCTCCCCTACAATGATATGCCACACTTTATACTTAAAAAAAATTCAAGTCCGACTCTGTTATTTTAATTATTTAATCTGATTATATTCATCGCAACATTATTGATCAGTGGTAATTAACATTGAATAAAGAAAATTGAGCCAATTGAAAGATTGAAATAAATAATATCCAGATCAGCAATTTAAAGATATTATTTTTAACTTTTCTTACTATGTATTTGAAATTCTCAGTGTACGATCTAATAATTTGCATAATATTAATCGTAGTTATTATGAATAAATTAACTTCTACAAACTAGTTTCTAATACTTTACATAGTCTACATGTTCGAAAGGGTTACCACCCTCCCTATTGCACAAATTTATTTTTCGTTCAATTTTATTTATAGCTTTTGAATAGATCTTATACTTTCGAATGTATTTTGTACTCTTTATTGTAACTGCCGAGATGTGTTGATTTTACTTTTTTGTAAAATTTGGACCTGTCGAATTACTTGACGTCATCAGACGGTCCAGGTACCTCACTGGCCATTATACTGCTCTATCATTTCCAATCCATCTTCCGGGGAAATGATTTGATTGTTTATATTACATTTTATTTATATTTTTTATTATTTTTGATATTGCATTTGCTTTTCCGTATTCAACCCACGTCACTGTTAAGTTTGAAAGCTTATCAATATTGTAATGATAAATATATTAAATATTAAAAAAAAACAGAGCCGGATTTGAAATTAGTTTAAATAAATTGTGTCCAAATTTCCAAAACAAAAAAAAAATATGTATGTTGTATGTTGTACTCAGGAGAGCGAGTTCTTTCAAAATCTGAAATAAAAAATGCAGGTCCGTATTTAAAAAAATTAAGTTGGCCTCTGTATCTCACAAATTATCAGCTGATTTGAAAATCTAAAAATACTATCAGATAGGCCTAATAAAGTGGCTATGAGAATGTGCAATTAGTTTTTTGATTTTCTAAAAATTATCGACAGGAAAAAATAAAATTGATTTTCAAAAATATCCGTTTTTTTTTTCAAAAAACTCAGCAATCCTTGAAATTTTTAAAACTTTTCTGATGGCATCTTGGTGAACATCCCAAAGCGCAACTTTGCCCCAATTTAACCATGTTCGTATCTATTACGGTTACCGAGTTACCAATACTCGAATTTGTAGCACCCTGTATAATCAGTTCCAAAAATGTTAAATATATCTTCTCCAACTGATACTATCTGTTTGATGCTAGGAATACTACTTAATCTACTCTCAAAAATGTAAACACACTTGTCCTTGATATATTGACATTGCAACTGATTATCTTAAACATTCCAGACAATTTTATTATTGTTGTGTATCTCTATCTATATCCTATTATTTTTGTGTATTTTGTTGTGTCTACAGTATTTCCCGGGATTGTCTTTAAAAAAAGAAAAATTTTCCTAAAAATAATAACGCGTTTCTCGTTCTTGCATTATTACCCTTTCCCTAAGATGACTGAGATAAACTAAATAAATGTTGGGCTTCTTTAACATTTTAAAACAGCAAAAAATATGACGTCTATTAAAATTGTATCAATAATAATCTATCCAAGAATAATAAAGAAATTAAAAAAAAAATAATGTTCTTTTGTAATTTTCTCTAAAACGATATGGAAATTTGGAAAAGTACAAACGGGATTAACCGTTTAAGAACAGGCAATTTTTTTATGAAGAATGCATTTCTCCTAATGTCACTAATAAAGAAGTTTTTCCTCTTGTAAAAACAGGCCAGGGACATACTGTATATTGTTTTAAAACATTCTCGAGAACATTCTTTATGCTTTTTTTTATTTATAGGGGTTTGTCTTGTTGAAAGCGAGAGTGCTAAAAATACGTCTAAAGTTACCGACAAAGCCGACCGAACCAAATCCTTAGGGCTCTTTCAGGTATATATAATTTGAATTGATACATTTTTACTTTAATAATCTCATAATTATTTTAAAAGGCACACCCTACGTATACCCAAAGCCGGTCCCACACGATGTGGCAAACACCTTCCAACGTTGGATACATAAACATTTGCCACATCGTCTAGGAGATACACTTGTCAATTGCAGTATTGTCGAAACCTATGCCAAATGTTGTTTACAACGTTGGAACCAACGTTGAACGCATCGTGTAGGACCGACTTAAATAATATATTATATACCTAGTTAACTATTTTTATAAAACGACCCCTACAGTACTCGCGAAGTAAGCAGAAGTAGGCCAATGTCGAATAGTGAATAAGGTAATTTTGTGTTTCCTCGTCTAATGAAAATATGCCGAGACGAGGCAAAGTTAGACGAGGAAACTCGAAATAACCCTCTTCACTATTCAACTTTGACCTTCTTCGGCATATTTCGCGAGTACTGTAGGGCTGCTTAAGATATGATAGGTATACCAAAATTCTTAGGTACAAAACCAAGGTTTGAAACATATAAACATCTTTTTTAAAATGTTTATTGTATAATTTAATGTCATTTATGTTGTTCTAGTAGTACTTCATAAATATGTTCTTTATTAACAGATAAATAGCAAGGAATGGTGTAAATTTGGCTCGGCAGGAGGAAAATGCCAGATAAAATGTGAAAGTAAGTATATGCTGTTTGGTTCTTACTTTGAGTATTAGTGTGGGTTTACAAGCATCCGTAACGTGTCGTCAAATTTTAAAAATTACAGGTCATATTTGAACATGATTGAAGCGACTAAAGAACAAACGACGCATGACGGATGCATATAAAAATCCACACTTAGTCCTAACTTTTAACACTAACCCTAAAAAATTAACCTTAATAACAATGTTGCTATGCATTTCCTTATGTTCTAAGAACATATGGAAAATAGTAAATGTCCTTCATGCTTCTCCTACTTATCTTTTGCGCTTGCGCCCATATATAAGACAAATACTGCGCCCAGTTGGCTTGGAAATGACGATCGATGACAGTCCCCGTATAAATTTACATATAATATGACAGCGATTTTCTTTTCATAAACATCGCTGACGCGTTTTTTTTTCGCTCATATTGTATTTTGAGTTAACCTGATGTTATAAATATTTTTACAATTCAGACAACTAGAGAGACTAATTTTCACAATGATAATGATTCATATTCAAACTAAAATTCATGGGCGCCGGAAGAATGAAATTTAGGGGGGGGCAAGGTAAAAATGAATAAAAAATTGACATTTTTGGTAATTATTGGGAAAACTGGAAATCGTCCGATTTTCACCAAAATTGGTATACACCCTATTTTGAAGTCGTAGATTACGAATCTGAACTTTTTTCTTGGCGGTCTCTTACGGTTTTTCAGAAAAACGGAAAATAATTTCAATATCGAATTTTTCTTAATTTCTCATATTTTTAAAGTTTTCTAGCACATATTTTGTTAGGTATTCAATAATCAATAATGTTTTTGCTATTTGCTGTTACTTTTTTAACCAATTCTATGCATAATAGAGGAAAATTTGCTAAAATAAATTTGTAAACAATCTGAAAATGTTAGATTATAGCTTTGTTCGGGTTCTTGTTATTACCGATTCTGAACCGTCCAAGAACTCTGCAGCGCATGCGCAAATGAAATAATGTCTTCATATTTCCTTCTGCGCATACGCATCACAGTTCTAGGACGGTTCAGAATCGGTAATAAGAGAAACCCGAAGTAAGTTTATGTGTTTCTGGCATTTAAAGCAACGTTGCCAATGCTAAACCTAAATTTAGCGTGTTTTTTTCGCTCATTCTGGAATTACGAAAGGCGGTCGCCAGAAGAACGGCTCCTTCCCATAACTGCTATTTTACCAACGAGATCTGACTATTTATACCCACGAAGTTGCACGAAAGAGTTTTGATTGCATTGGTTACAACTTCCATGCAGAGGGTGTTAATCTTTTGTTGTTATATTATTAGATTAACTAAAAAAAGATTAACCCCCTCCGCAAAGAAGTTAAAACCAATGCAATCAAAACTCTTCCGCGTAATTTTGTGGATATAGGTGTATATTTAATTATTGTCGATCTCATAATAGGTAATTTATTTAAAATCCCTAATCACCCGAAAAAATAGAAGATATGGCAACGTTGTAAATTTTCAAATTTCTAGATTAGGTCTAGAATATATTTGTCTCTCTTATTACATAAGAGAGAGAAAGAAGGATATATCAAATGTCAAACTTCCATCTGGTCTCAATTTTCTTTGCTATTTTGTTAAGAAAAGTGTTTTTCAGTAAAATGTTGGACACTTTTCTATCCCCAATCAAGGGTGGCTTTTAGATAAACTATAATATAATGAAAACATAGTGAAATTATTACTTTATAGGGCCGAAATAAAGAAAAATTCAATGTTGAAATTTGAAATAATTTTCCGTTTTTCTGAAAACGGTAAGAGACCGCCAAGAAAAAAATAGATTCGTAATCTACGACCTCAAAATAGTGTGTATACCAGTTTTGGTGAAAATCGGACGATTTCCAGTTTTCCCAATAATTACCACATTTTTTATTAGTTTACAGGTAACACCTAACAATTTCATAATAATGATTATTTTTTTTACAGATGGATGTAAGAAGATAGCTTTTATTTTTATTGTTTCAGTGATCCAGGGGGGGGCAGATACCCCCTCTTGCCCCCCCCTGTCCAGCGACCATGCTAAAATTTAATAGAATAGGATTTATTTCATATATAAATTTGTCTTGTGAGCCATAATACTGTCCAACAACAATTTGTATCTGCAATACCATAAACACATCCCGATTTCGTGTGTAACGCCCTAAAGCCCGACCCGTTTATTTCCCAGATAGCCGGGAATTAATTTAAGTTATCTAGCTTTTGCAGCAACTATATTGGTCTGTGTAGTAGAGTTCCACCCAAATTAGGATTAGATAAGACGCCTGATGAAATACGGGTATATTCGGCGAACAACAAGATTATTAATAGTTTGAATTATCAGAAGTGATGATATAGTTACCTATTTTTGAATAACTTGAAAATGCTATGGAATATACAAATAAATTCCATATACAAAGTGTCCCAATATTCCGGGGACGTAGTACTACTATACGTATTTTTGGAAACAAAATAAGTCCATTGAACATAATTTACCTCTATACAAAAGTGCTTCGTTTGTCCCTTAGAGGGCATCAAACTTTAAAAACATTTTTTCAAGTATTTTAATAACATATCTATGTTTTACTAAGTGCGCTTTATCACTTGACTTTCACAAAAATCAAGAAACAGTACGGGAAGGGTGAAAACTACCACCACCCCTACATCAATTTTATTATAAATATTTTCAAACTCAACCGACGACCGATTTTTTTTCTTTTTCGTAAAATGGTCCTTCTAGTATTTATTACATTTTTGTCTCTTGTGAAAAAACGCCACCGCACATACTTTTTGAGGAACAAAATATTTTTTGTCACATTTGTTTTATATCCACAGCTGACTTCCAAAAAATATTTTTTGTCACATCAATCTATGGAGGCGCATAAAATATATTATGCTCTTAATAATCTAGTTGGCGAAAATATGAAATTTTACGTTGTTTATGTTAGTATTACAAATTATATTTGACAACCAGTTTCATAAAAGCTTGAAAAAATTAATAACCCCAAGTAGCATTTTCACGACTTGCGACCACATGTTTACTAAACACAACGTTGGATTAGTTACAAAAAATAGTTAGCTCCCTACCTTGGGTATTAAAATAAATTTAAACGTTTTTATAACGTTGGGCCGACGTTGGACTAGTACTACAGCAAAGTAGAAGCTTCTGCGACGTCGAATAAACGTTGTCTTGTAACCTTTTTTGCTTAAGTGATCTTTAGGTGATTTGGACAACGTAGTTACAACGTTGGATAATATAGAGTTTTCCGACGTCAGTTTCAGGACCTATTCCAACGTTATGCAAACGTCGTCTGTTTTACTAATTCCAACGTTGTTTAGATTTCCTTATTCTTACGTTGGTAGGACGTAGAGTCACTACCTTTTTGCAACTGTATTGAACCATAACCTTAAATCTTAAATTTTCAATTCATTGTTCTGTTCAGTCAGACAGTTCAGTGCTGTTTTTGTTTTTATAAAAAAAAAACTTAATTAAAATGGGACATAAGAAAGGTACATATAAAACTAAATTTAAATATACATCGACATATATTACCGACACTTCCTCGTTTATTTAGATTATAGAGGGCGGCACAAGCTAGACTCTAGAATGACTAAATTAGGCAATCTTGCGACTAGTATACTACCTGTTAAGGCCGAACTGCGACTTTATTAGTCCAGTATGCGACTACTCGAACTACTCCATCTTAATCTCCAAAACAACAAAGTTAAAGCCGCCATGTTGTTAAATAAGAAAATGTTTCGTTCTTAAAATAGCAATTCCTGCTTTTTGAATACATTAACTTGAAATATTTGACCCTAAAAAATACGCGGAAACAATTTTTTCGAATGCGAATAAATTATTCTCATTTTACTAAAAAAAAAATTCAAGAAAATTTTTAAAACTTCTTTAATTTCAAGGCCCATTAGTATTTTTTAAAGTAGAAACAATACATTTATCAATAAAGTTGTTTGCGTTTAACTTTTTACCTTGGGTAACGAGTTACAGAGTCGGTTAAAGTGTTTCAATAATTATGATCTTCAAACATCCTCCACACTTAAATACTTTTGTTTTGTTTTCCTTCACTGCCATCTGACATATGTCTCTAACTAAATTATAAATATAATATTTTTACTATAATTATCCCAATTTAGGATAAAACGCGACTTAGACGCCATATTAGTTTTGTATTTCTGTGAATTAGGATTTTAACAACGTTGCAGTTTGTCTTAATTAGGCTTCTAGCCAACGTCGGTATCCAACGTCGTTTCGACCCAAAAATTATTCTCCAAACTAGTGCAGACTAGGGTTGGCACGAGGTTGTGCCGACGTTGCGCCCCGACGTTTGGTCGCGTGACACAACGTTGTCCCGACGTCCAAATGCTGCTTGGGACATTTAAATTAATTAACGTTCGGGTTTGTTTTTGATTGATGCCCTCTAACGGACAAACGAAGCACTTTTGTATAAAGGCAAATTATGTGCAATTAATGTATTTTGATTCAAAGAATACGTAGTTGTTCTATGTCTACGGAATATTGGAAGTCCCTGTATATTTTGTAGGTCTGTTTTGGAAAAATGAATTCTCCAATTTTTTTTCTCAAAAACTATGCAATGTGGCGTTTTTACGCTATTTTTTATTTTACGAAAAGAAAATCAGTCGTCGATTGAGTTAGAAAATATTTATACTAAAATTTATGTAGGGGTGGAGGTAGTTTTAACCCTTCCCGTTCTTTTTCTTGATTTTTGTGAATGTCAAATGTTAAAGCACTTAGCAAAACATAAACACCCAAAATTTCATTGAAATCGGAGTATAATCAAACTAATGTCACAAATCTTTTGTATAGAGGTAAATTGTGTCGAATTAACCGAAAACTTATTTCGATTACAAAAATAAGTAGTAGTTCTATGTCGGCGGAAAATTGGGACATTCTGTATATACCAATCGAGAATATCTCTAGACATCAGGACATGAAGGAGAGCATGATGATTCACAAAATCCATAGATCTATTGTATTTCCTTTTCATGAGTTATAACTCATCATACAGTCTAAAACTCTATACATGGGGATCTTCCAGTTGTAGGACAGGGTATTGCCCTTATCTCTTCTGACAATAGTTGTTCATTATCCGAGAAGTGGACATCTACCTCCTTCGAGGGTATACACCATTCCACGGTTGGAGTTTAGCCATAGTTATAAGGAAACTACTAAACTTTTCCTTCTACTATGGTTTAGCCCTCCGTGCCCTTCATAGTCGAAGCGTTTGTCTCTCTCTGGCTGTGATACCCGTAAGGTGGAGTCTGGAGTCTGGAGTCTGGAGGATCTGTCTCCATCTTTTCCACCTCTTTAACATAGTCTCTCCTTAGACCCGATACCGGTGTTGTGCCGAATCTATAATAGAGGATATATCTCTCTTTCTAGAGAACTAAGAGATCTAGTTCGGAGATTTTTTGCACATCATTGTTCCACAATGATCTATCAATTAAAAATATTGTCAATATGGTGCTACTTTCGGAAATAACGAAAGTTGACAGCAACTTTCTTCTTTTAAATGGGTACCTTCATATTTTAGGTCGTAGCTGCCATTGAATCGCGAAATTAAACAATTATCATAAATCATTTTTTTTTAAATAGAAACCCACATTTTTTTCAAAAAATCAAATTTTAGCGTCCGTTAGTAAGAAAATTTAAAAGTGCCAGTTTTATTATTATCAGTTAAAACCGAGTACCTAACTAAACCGTACTTAAACCCAACGATCTGGCGTACAATTTAAATATTCCTTCTCATCTTGTTCGATGAAAACGGCAGCACCGGGAAAATTATGGCTCCCACACGTATTCAGCCTCGAAACTTTCCAGTTCAAAGGCAAGTTATCGAAGACCTCTCGAGAGGGTGCTCTCGACTCTGCTGTGCACTTTAAGTGGCGCAATCTGTTTAAGTAGCTCGCACGATTTTTGTTGCTCTTCGCTGCACGATTCGTTGACGAAAGTGGAAATTGTAGCTGCGGAGATCTTAAGCAAATTAGTTAATGGGCAGGAAGTAAATTGAAAGTGTGGGTTTATTAGAAATCTATGTAAAAAATGCGAAAATAAATTTATATAAAATTCTTGGTCTTTGTTCGAATCAAACGGAGATATGTTCAGGTTGATTCCAGGATCTCAAAGAGACGCGTTAAGGAGGTATAGTTTCTTATAGTCTTGGTGCATTCTCCGCCGGTGCTGCCACCATCGGAGAATATCGTAAAAAAAGTTCAGAAGGTCTAACTTGTATTATAATTTATTATTCCAGCTAAAAAACTTTTTAGATGAGTTCAACTACGGTAAACTACGGTAGCGAGCATAGTATTAATCAGTGGTTTTGCTAGTGAGGCATAATTGGGGCTATTTCGGCTATAACGAAATTTTTTACAGGTACATAATTATAATTTTAGAAGATAAAACATTTAGTCACTAGTTGATTAAAAAAAGTATACCATTAATATTGCAAATTATATTTTATCCTCTCATAGTATATATCTATTTAATTTTTTGATCGTGTAACGATCATTTTGGTTTGGTTACTCACTTGTTTCATCGAACTGCGTCGGTCCATTTTTGCTTTTCATCAAATCGGTGTGAGAAACATGAAGCTATAAAATATTGTTTCGGGAGAATTGAATATCCGGGAAAGTTGAGTTATTGAATGTTATTGCACCCAACAATGCCCTAATTACGTTCTCCTTTACGCGTTAACATCTTTTCGGCAATTTTATTAACATTTGAAATTGTGACAACACAACACGACGGCGACGCCTAGTTCGAATTCTTTTTCGCTTATTTTTACTACCCGAAACAGCGTTACATGACACAGACCTAGTACCTGTGTGTTTTATAATCTCAATAACTGCAATAGCAAAAAACTAAAATACTTAAATATTATGAAAAAAACAAGATTTCAATATTATTTAAATGCCATCAACATGACGGCTTAACAGGTTGGCTTAAATTGGGACAAAGTTGCCTGTAAGTGAACCCAATATAATAATCCGTTTAGTAATTGAACCTATCTTTTTCATTTCTGGAAATATGGTGGAAAAACTGAAATTTCTGGTTTTTGTTGTCATTTTTTTACGAGTTTATTTTAACAAATAGAAAAAAATCTACAAATACAATCCTCAAGAAACTTCTTTACCTTTATCCTTTGGTGAGATCAAAAATTACTTGAGACGATTCGTTTTTCTGGAATCATAATCAACTTTTGTTTTAAAATAGAAACCTGGATTTTTATTTAACTTTTTAGAAGCTCCCAAATGTTGTTTCACAAAAAATCCAAAAATGTTCCCCTTATGACAATATTCTTCATTATACCTTTTTTGGGCAACTGCGCTACATCATTGTATTTGGGAATTAACAATTAAAATCAGGGATGATTAAATTAGAGAATTAATAGAATATTTTCAAGTGTTAAGAAAAACAGTTAGAAATTCAAAATTAGAAGAACTTTTACTGGTGTGGTGTTAACAAATTAGTGACGTGAGCATTTACTAGTAATTGCAAATAATCACTGATTTCTGACTTTTACTGTAATATATTTTTTTCATTTCTGTTCCAGATCTCATAGACGAGAATATCCAAGACGACTCTATTTGCGCACGAAAAATCCAAAGGGAATTGGGATTCCGCGCTTGGGACGGCTGGCTTCGGAGTTGTTATGGGCGGAGGCTATCCATTCCACCTTGCTAGTGTTTGCATTACACCTATTCGATAGCATATATCTATTATACAGGTTGTAACGAAGTGATACGTGCACCAAACTTTACCACTAATCTCTAAATAGAAGACCAAACATAATAAAACTGTTTAGGTTATGAACAAAAAATAATATACTTATATACTAAGCTTCATTTTGATGTTGGAAATGTAGAAAATTTAACTTAACAACAGCAAAATAAAACACTAAATCACCACAATAAACCAAAACACTTTTACTTTGCGTTTCGTTAGCATGTTAACATCATCAGCAGATGATTAAATCTGAAATAGTTTGCTGTTGTAAAACCAAAGGTTCCAACCCCCAACTGTAACTTGACTAGGCTAGACAAAAACCCTAATTTTTATATATCATACGCTACGCAGATGATACTGTGATTAAATAGGTATAAACATAACCTAAACTCGGGTTCAAGTGAATTCTAAAAAACGCTGGAATCAGCAATTCTATTTAGGTATATTTTTCTTGTAGTATATAAGATTAAAAGATGATAAAAAGCCCAGTTTAATCCTACCTCAATTTCAATCGTGAAATATCTAATTTTTAAACTAGGTTTCAACGCTATGGTTCAACGATAAAAATTCATTGAACAAAGTTTTAAAATCATTGTCATGATCATTGTCAAACCTGAAATGTCATTTACTGTTGGTATTGTTATGGACGTAACTACTTTTAGTCATAAAATTTATAAAGTTTGGTAAACGCAATTCGTGCACCCTCTATAATATAACAATTTTATTGTACCGAGTGTCCTTCATTGTTATGTACTTATAGATATACAGGGTGGCCCATCGAAAACGTTCCGTAAGGCATAACGGCCAGGGTATTTATTTTTTAAAAAAATCCAAAAACACGTCAATTTTGTTTGTGAGGGGGACAACTTTTGCCCCAAAAATGATTGCAAAATATTCAACCCTCTAAGCGGGGGTGTCATCCCCCAACTTTTTCAAATAGAAAGGGGTCAAGTGGCGCCGCAATGAAAAGAGCTTTCTATTCTTTATATTTCCCCGCTTCGTTTTTGAAAATCGGTCTAGTCATTGAGAAAATATGAAGAATTGAAATTTGAAAAGTTTATTTAAGCATTTATCAGAGTAAATGATAATTAAAGATAAATTCGACCAATTTGCTGTTTTTTCTTATTATTTCTAGATGTTTAAGCATTGTTTCACTTGCCACAACGTTGAACGATCAGGTGCGGCAGTTGCTAGATAGCTGTTCTGTGACTTATACGTTGAAGTTCTTCTCGATATCGTTAAACTGACCCACAATAGAATTTCCAAAAATACCAGCCCACACGTTCAATTTCTGAGGGTTTTGTGTGTGCACCTCGTGAAAAACCCAGGGGTTGTCCTCAGCCCAGTACCGACAGTTGTGCCGATTAACTACACCGTTCAAGAAGAAAGTACACTCATCCGAAAAACACACATTAAATAGGAAATTATTATCATTCGCCACTCGTTCACTCATAGTTTCACAAAATTGATGGCAAGCAACGATCAAAATCGTTTTCGTTGAGTTCTTGTACCAACTGAATTTTCTACGGGTGGAACTTGTGTTGTTTTAATATCCTTTGGAAACTTGTACGATTCCCGCCGGTCTCATTGGCTAATTTTCTTGTACTCAGAATACTGTCCATGGCAACTTGGCCCAATACGAATACCTCCATAGCTTCATTTACTACAGGATTTTCCCTCTGCCTCTTTTTATTCATAACGGAACCAGTTTCGCGAAATTTTGCTACCAACCGGCGAACAATTTTGCCATAAAGGTGTTTGTCAGGATGGCGCTCATTGAATATCTGCGCAACCCGACTGCAAACATCTAGAAATAATAAGAAAAAATAGCAAATTGGACGAAGGAATTTATCCTTATCATTTACTCTGATAAATGTTTAAATAAACTTTTCAAATTTCAATCCTTTATATTTTCCCGACGACTCGACCGATCTTCAAAAACGAAGCAGGAAAGTATAGAGAATAGAAAGCCCTTTTCACTGCGGTACCACTTTACCCCCCTTCCCATTTGAAAAAAATCGGGGGATGGCACCCCCGCTTAGAGGATTTAAGATTTTGCAATAATTTTTGAGGCAAAAGTTGTCCCCCTCACAAACAAAATTGACGTGTTTTTGAATTTTCTGAAAAAAAAATTACCCTGGCCGTTATGGCTTGCGGAACGTTTTCGATGGGCCACCCTGTATATTTAATAGACCTCTTAAGATTAATTTTAAATTAACGAATAATTGTGCTGTATATGTGATTTTGTACTATACTTTTCAAATCAAGTAAAAGGGGTACAGTTTTATGGACCAAAAGATATATAAGAAAAAGAAAAATTCTTCAAAAAATAGAACAGGATATAAAAATATAGTAATACTAATATAATCTTTTTTTTTGTTTTATTTAAAAATAAAAGTCAAAAAAAAATCAGTTTTAGTGTCTAAATTGTCCACAAACAATACCTGAATGTACCATTATGTGATTATGGAAAATCATCGTGGAAGCGGAAGCTGATATAAGATGTAGTAGGGTGGGGGGGTAACATGTAGTACCTGGCGCCAGTTTCACTAGGAACCCAACACTGGCATTACATGTACCATGCCAGTGCTGGTGTACCAGTTAAACTGGGACCAGTATTGAATACGTGTAAATCAGCCTTAAAGACAAGTTCCACATAACAGTCTCTTTTTCAAATATGTATGTATATCATAGCCAATAGAAAATGAAATACAAATAAAAATGATGTTACCTATACTCTGTAAATAGGCAAATTTCCCCTCCTGGAACAAATTTTCTTTAATTTGCACCACATGTGATACGTTGGGATTAAAACAGCATTACAGCTAAAATTTTCCGACATTTTCCTTCTGTTACGGTTTCACTGGTGTTTCAAATTCAACGAAAAGCGGAAAAAAGAAAAAACAAATCGAAAGAAAAACAAATAAACACGGCACATACTAATCTTCCCTAAATGAGATGAGGCTATTAAAATTGTAATTGAAATGAAACAGAAAGGCATAGATGTGTACAGGGTGGGTCAAATTCGACGCTTTTAAATGGAAACACCCTTTTCTATAGGAGATAGACAAAAACTAATATCGGTGTCTGGAACTCAATTATTGTCAAAAACATGATGGTGAAAACCGCATATCGATACCAGTTATCGTTTAGGATTTACTGTTATGATTTACTTTCGAAAATATGCATTTTTAACAAATCGCTCTAACTTTTTTGCTATGGAAAATTTTGTGTTTTGATGAAAACATTTCCAAAGCACCTTTTTACGTTAGAATTTAATGGTTTAAGTATATTTTTTTTAAATTAAGAATTTAAAATATATCAACAGAAAATTTGATTTTTTACATGGAATACCCTGTATATTTTTAATGTATTGAAAAAGAATTTAAAATTACCTTTCCAAAAATATAACACTCTTGATATTTTGCTCTATTCCTCTTCGAGATATATAGTATATAAAAAAATTCGCCCGCATTAAATAAGTAGGCCTTGAACGGCACCGGCTGCAATGCAAAAAATTCTAGCTGTGAGCATCAATTAAAAGGAAAATAATATTTGCTATGAGAGATGCAGGATTTTAAATTGTGCAATTTGAAATATTATATATTTAACCAACATCAACACATTTAAACTATATCTAATACCAATAAAAATAAATAAGCAAGCCAAGACATGAGATTTTGCTACAGGCGTTCGACATATCAACCGTCTTCTGTTATGGACAGATGGGGCGCAGTTTTGAACATTTCTCGCGGAATTCATTAACTCAGTGAGGGTGAAAATAACCTCTCATAACTGCTAAGTATTTTTAATTCTTGTCTAGATTATAAGGAATAAGGAACCTTCATTCTTCCACAAATATATCCATAGGATTAGATCCATGGGCACTAAATCAGGCGTCCTCGACGGCCAACGGCTGGGATCTTGAGTTAGCTATCCATTGTTATTCTTGAAATCGGTTGCAAAATTTGCTGATAACTTCAGCGTTCAGAGGCGATGCGTCGCGTCGTCTTGCTGGAAAAATATGTGTTCGAGTTCCATTAAGAGGGTATATCATCAATAAGGGGTCCAAAGCCTACTAGTTAAAAGTGGCGAACTTTTAAAAATTCTGTATTTCGAAGGGGATTATAACAAAACATCAAGTGTGCTATATTTTTGGAAAGGTAATTTTAAATTCTTTCAGTTAATTAAAAATATAGAGGGTGTCCCAAATAAAAAATCAATTTTTCTATATATAACTCAACTAACTCGATTTTAAAAAAATTATACTTAAACCATTAAATTCTACGTAAAAAGGTGCTTTGGAAATGTTTTCATAGAAATACAAAATTTTGCATAGCAAAGAAGTTACAGCGATTTGTTAAAAATGCATTTTTGAAAAACACCACGTAACTCCGAAACGGTAACAGATATTGATGTGCGGTTTTCACCATCATGTTTTTGATGATGAATTGAGCTCCAGGCACCGATATTAGTTTTCGTCTATCTCCTATAGAAAAGGGGTGTTTTCATTTAAAAGCGTCGAATTTGACCCACCTGTACAGTGTGAAATTTAAAAAAAAAATACTTTAGTGTATCTTATTAACCTTTTTTAAATTAAAAATGGATGTTTCTCATCACAAGGAAAAACAAAATGTTATGTGACGAAATTCTTTTTGACGAAATTTTGAAACATCCTGAAGAATAGCACAGTAATAAATTTAAAAACCACTTTACTATCAGGGTGTATATTTTCTTGATAGTTTATTTTCTGATTCATCCCAATTTTTTTGTTAGACATATTCGATTTGACAGTAATGATCTACTGAACTTAGTATAGCATTAAAAATATGCCTTTGCTAATCAACATACCTATAAAATAATGTTTATTGTTTTTTAATGCCACTGTCATTAAAAAGTTATATTAATGTTTGTTGGCAGTTCTGACAAGAATAATTTTAAGTATAAAAGTTGTAGCTGCCGTTGTTTTAATTGAACATGGTAGAGATTATCTTCTGGACTTAAAACCATCTCTACTGGAGTAACTAGCAACAAACTCTAATATGCCTTTTCATCGACAGTGGCATTACAATAACACTAATCACTATTTCAGAGATGTGTTGATGACCAAAAGCAATAACTATAATATTCTTTGGCAAAGGAATGCTTTTTACTGCTATCACTGCAATAGATCTGTGCTGTCTTCTTTCAAGGCGAATATCTCCAAGCTTAGAGTTGTTAAAGCTTAGAGATAAATTAAAAACAAACTACACACACACCGAAAAGTCTAGGGATATTACAATTTTATCCAGCCATCGTCAGTAATTTTATTATTTGCATTTCTGATATAATAAAATTAAAATAAACAAATAGTTTACAGGACCTATTGGAAATAAAAATGCGAAATTTACCGAATTTTTCAAATTTACCTTGATTTTTATTGAACTCAAAAAAATACACACATTTTTTTTAATTCTAAACTGTGAATTAAAAAAAGATAAAACCATTTTTACTTAATAAAGGGTATGGCCTCCTCTACTGTTCATTACATCCCTCCATGCTCCTGATCAGGTTGTCGATCTCTTCTTGTGGTACAGCCTGCCACGCTGCATTCACGGCCCGAACCAGATCCCTACGAATTTCACGAGGCATACCCATTCTCAAAATTCTTCTTTGGACCGCGTCCCATACGTGCTCGATGGAGTTGAGGTCAGGAGATTGTGCCGGCCAGGGTAAGATGTTTAATTGATGAGCATTGATAAACTCACTTACCACTCTGGCTGTATGAGGCCGTGCATTGTCATGCATGAGAATGAAGTTT